CTGACCTTTATTTTATGCAGTTACTGAACTTTGCACACAAAAAGAAACTGTCTGGTTTTCTCTTTCCAGGCATTTATCAAAGGTCCTGGAAGATGTGGTTGTTTGTTTTAAAAGAACTATCCCAGAGGACTCTTTGTCCAAGCCAAATCTCAATGCTTTCAACTTTTCAGATAAAGCAGCATGTTGGGACAGTAACTACTGGAGAGTCTGACCTTAACTAATTAATTTGTATTTTCTGAAGGGGAAAACAAAATAAAATTTAAAGTGTGCAGAACTACCCCAGGATTAAATTGAAAAGACGACTTTCTGGGGGCCACTCTCTTTTTCAGTTTTTAGTTTTGCTATTTCCACTGATGTCAAAGAGAAGAATTACTAGTGAAGGGAAAGACAGCTCGTCAGCAGTTTTATGGCACTGTATTTTCTTCCCCTTTCTGTCAGTTGATGTTTCTTGTTATGAGTTCTGTCTGAGACCAAGGGGCACCCTGTTCCTGGTCACAGTCTGCAGACAAAAGGTTGAGGAGGAAAGGAAGTGTTGGCTCACTCCTGTCTGCAATCGCAGACACGCTGGCTGCTGAGTGAGGAGGAGTGGACATCAGCCCAGCAAACACTGTGCAGACACTCTGGGAGCAGGTTGTCATCAAAGGAGTTCACTCCCCTCATTTCCTGTTGGTAGTATGTTTACTTCAGTTAGGAAATTCTGAGGATTTTATACTTTTGAGTAGAAACCCACTGGGGGATGTGGAGTGCAACACCTGGTGCCACATCCCTCCCACAGCATCTGCTCCCAGCTGTGCCCAGCCCTCTCCTGCTCCAGCTGCACAACCAGTCTCATGTCGTACACCAGCCAGCACCACCCGAGGGGCAAAAAGAGACCGTCCATCACTAATTAAATCCACAGACTTCACAGAACACTTGCTCATGCACTTAAGACGTATGCTTCCTGACCACTCCTCAAATTCCCAATCCCAAACTCCTGGCACATCTTCTCTGTGGCTTAGTGGTCAAACTGGCCATACATCTCAAGCCAATTACTCTGCTAATGCCCTGCAAAAGTGCGAGGCCATGGAGCGGTATAGATGCCAGATAATGCTCTCATTGCAAAGCTAAGCACAGATTCACAGAGTCATAGGGGTTGGAAGGGACCTCAGGAGATCATCTAGTCCAACCTCCCTGCCAAAGCAGGTTCCCTACAACAGGTTGCACAGAAAAGAGTCCAGGTGGATTTTGAACATTTCCAGAGATAGAGACTCCACAACCTCTCTGGCCAGCTTGTTCCAGTGCTCTGACACCCTTACTGTAAAGTTTTTCCTTAAGTCTGTGTGGAAATCCCGTGAGAAATGTTCTTCCTTGAAGCAGCCAAATCCTAAGGACTTGTTTTCTAACAAACTGCCAACCTGAAAGACTTCCTGGGGAAATCATTCCCCCATTTGGCTCCACTTAGAGCCCCTTTCCCTGGCCTCATGCTCTGCATGAGCCCTTTTGCCCTGGTCCATTCTCCTTCCCTCCTTCCCCCCTAACTCTCATTTCTCAGCTCAGCCCAGTGACAACCCTGGGATGGAGAAGAGCAAGTTCTGCCCAACAGGAGAGGGGTGACCCAGCAAGAGGACAGCATCTTCAAAGGTGCATTGAGGTGGA